CTATCAAAACGCCTGCCATTTGAAATAAATAAATATATTGTTAAAGCGGCAATAATTTGTAAACCGATTCTCATTTGACGACAAGATAGATTTCGAAATAATTAATGTAAGTGAGATAGATCGGGTATGAAAAGTGCATTTGATATTTTGTTATCGAGACAAAATGAATGCAAAAAAAGTTAAGACAACTCACTTCTTAAGTCGTCGTGGATTTAACTTAATGGTAAGCGCGGTCTCAAATAGGGTTCGTCCGTGATCTTCCCATTCTGTAGAATCGGTTTGTTGAAGGGACTAAAGAGCACATAGAAAAAGCAGGTTATAGGGCATTCAGGGGATTGCGATGAGGAGAAATACACATTTTTCGACAGTCCAATAGCATCACCGATAGAAAAATAAAATCAGCGTTTTGAAAGGAGGGTTGAAGATAGGTAGAGAAACTGTTTACGCAAGCAAATGGTTATAATAACTGTTCTACGTGTATTATCCTTGTTTAAGATACCAGTCGAATGCATAAGTGTAATCAAAATATTTACTTATGTTAGTATCAGTAAGTAAATAACTGGTAAATAACTACGAGGATAGACACTGAGACAATAACAAACACCTAATATTTTGTCAGTTCAAAGTGTGCGATCTCTTCCGAAAATAAACCCTTTAAAGCCCGAGTATTTTGCAAAATGCACCCAATTACACTCACTTGTGTCGAACAGTAGACTGATGTCACCTACGTGATGAGTTTCGGTGGTATCAGACGAATGCTACAGACACGTATTGAACATGTTTTGAACGAAAATAGCACCTTCTGTCAGGAGTCTAGTATTAATGGAGTTTAATTTGAAAGAGTATCGTACGATCCTAAGTGCGTTAAAGGGTTAAACAAACTATAAATAATCTGTGGTAAAAAGTGTGACCAAGCTCACTATTGGTGAATACACTTGAATTGTGATTGGCCGGTGAAGGAAAAAAACCAAGAATTGATACTCATTTATTTCATAAACCGATATGCCACCACAAGGCATTGTTTCGCTTTCCTAACAGGTCGTCAATCCGAGAATGCGTTAAGAGGATAATGAAACATTAAACGAAGGGCGAAATGAGCATATAAACACTTTACGTCGTTTAAATGAGAGGTCGAGGTAATAGAGGTAGCAAAAATTACTTTCTCCCCAAAACACAGTGGCACATCAACACGATAGCAATTTTTATTCAAAGAGGAATAATTACATCTCCCCTTAAATGACATAAAGGGTAATTATACATTTACGTGAGCGCGCACATGATAAGCATACAAGCAAAGTAATGAGGTAATATAAATGGGGGCTCGTAATTGATTTACAACCCCCCCCCCCCCCCTTTTAACGAGCGAGCACATGTACAAATCAGTTTTAAACAACCAACAAACTGGTGTCTATGAGTGGATTTGGACGAAGAGATAAGTAGAACGAAGTCCAGAGTGTATGGAATGAACCTTTGCTTCTTGAATTTGAATTTTGTGTCAGATGATTCGACGAGTGCGAGTTTATATTTTGCTTAAAATAGAATCCTACCCCCCCCCCGCCCTCCCTTTTTCAAAGTGTAAATGCGTAATAAATGTAACATTGTGATAGACCTCGGTTTCAAAACACCGTAAGCACACATGCACACACACACACACACACACACCCACACAGTGATTTCACTCATAGGGTACTCTTTTTACATTATAAAAACATGATCCATCCATAGCCCGAAACGCTTTTAATGAAGAACGGAATGCCAAGCTGTTTTCTACCTTCAAACAAAGCTGACAATGTTTCTGATTCGAACAAACCGAACTTTGCGTAATTCGATCGGATAATGTCAATTTAAAGGTCAGACAAAAGCCATCACTTACAAAGATCATAGTTTCCATGTCCATGGTAAGAAGTCGTGGAGCGAACTGCTTGAGAATTGCCAATGAAAGACGCAGTATAAAGTCCATGCCCTGAAAGGAGGCGAAAAACAGAACATAACCATAAATAAGAATCCATCAAATATCAGACGCTCTTTGCACTAGAATGGCTTCAAGGAATGCACAGTGGGTGGTGGTTATTAAGGCCTTAAGACACAAGCCACCACAGCTGTTGTTAGTGGCAATCGTAGAAGATTCGACAAACCCTGATTGGATGCATTTAGGGGAGGGGAGGGGAGGGGGGGGGGCAGTAAGTTGGGCAAAAATAATACCTCCAATGTGTTTGCATTGTAACTAGTAAAAAGCTTTTAGCGGTTTAATTTACGTGACACCATGAGACAGAACCATAAAATTTGACTTCGGATTAATTTCTTCGTTCCATAAATTAATAGCTACAATTGTAATTAAACATCCCCTTCAAGAACAAGGCGATTTTCAGCAAAAATGAACACCTAGGAGGTTAATGTTAATCTGGGGAGTATGAGATTTAAATTCACTAAAATGAGCTTCCAGCTATTCAACCGCTAGTCTCAATGGTCCAAGGAGGAATGGGAGAAAACAAATTTATAGTCAAATCGAAACCAGAATCCATCCCCATACTCAATAGGTGGATTCAGATTCCTTAACAGAACAGGAGTGTACACCCAGCCGGCATGTGCCCCCTAAATGACCTACAGGAGGAAATGGAGAAGAACAAACCTGATTTAGTGCCCAGCCCTAAAGACAACGGCAGAAACCCAGAGATATTGGGAAGCAAGAAGACAGCTAATGAGCAAATGATGACTATTATAAAACCTGTCATTTGAATTTAAGCAGTGTGGTTGGGCACTCTGCTCACTGGGTGTATTCGCATGGACATCGAATCCATGGCCTCCGACTTCTTCTTCCCTATATACACTTGCCCATCTGGATGGGCTATCGTTGAATGCAGGTGCTTGCAGTGTGTTATTTCAGCAATAAACGTGGGAAGACTGCGGAATTCTCCTGTGTTTTAAAAGATAACTGAACGTTTCTGGAAGTGCATTGATAAAAAAAATCAAGATTTTTGCCCTCCTATGTGTTCGCTTAAGCTGCATTCAGTCGTCTCATATGGAAATTATTGGTTAGGGACTTATAGCCGCTCTCTCGCAAAAACTCACTCTTTGTTTGTGATAACTAACGACACGTCTATTACAAGACAGGTGATGGTAGAGACTTGATTATCGCATTCTAAGACAACTTGAACAACAAACTCCCTTAGACAATGACAAATATGGACAAAATTTTAAACCATAAAGCCCAAGCATAAGGACCAATAGAATATTTGTATCATTTCGAATTGAGATCAATGTATTTATTATAAATGAGGTGATTTCCGACGATGGATGAAGCCATGTCTAAACGAGGAAATATGCAATTTTGAGATAAAAAACACTTCCTTGACGTACCAATGAGAGCCCACAGACCACGATAAGTAACCAACGGAAAAAGACATCCACAGTACTACATACTTTGATCATTATTTTAATCCGAAAATTGCGGTGATAATGCAATCCAACTCTGCTCAAATTATTTAGCCGGAAAGTTGGATGCCCAACCTTTCTCAGAACATGCCATTTGAGGAATGCTCCAAATTTTTAGATGCCATGTTATAAACATCAACAGGGCCCTAATTTGAGATTGTAAGCAAACGGAGTTTGCAGTAAAGCGGAGAGAGAGACAGAGAGAAGTAGCCATGGCAATAGGGTGCTAACGAGTGGTCGAGACCGCGCAAACCACCCAACGTGAAAGTATTCAAAGACAATTGCCAAGAAATAGAGAGAGAGAGAAAGCAAAAGCGAATGATAATACCTATTCGGAAGACTAAAGAGATAAGAGCAACAACATTTCGGTGAGGATACAAAATTCTCGCTAGAAAAAAAAGCAACAGAGAAGGAAACCGTTGTCCACATGATGGATGTGTCCATGTAAGAAGAGCAAAAATAAATTCCAGAGAAAAAAATTGAATTGCATTGTGCCCCTGCTGCTGTAAGATAAGATGTTAAGTTTAATTCAGGACAATTTAGGGTCAAATTAAAAAAAATTCACAAGAGGCGGAAGATTTTTACTCATGATACTCAAAATTTAAAGGAAGAGGTGTACTAATTGCGAATTACCGCTTTTTACTCAAACTGCTCAGTAATAGTAAAGAAGGGAGTGACGCCATTACTCAATTTCCTAAATTTGTTAACTTCTGAAAAGTGCGCAGAAATGCACATTTACGAATACAAGCATATTGATATGACACCTTTAAACAATGCAAATTTTCCGATATAAAGGATGAGGATTATTAAGTGGATAGTGATTGATGGTCTCTGGAAGTGGTTTTCGCATGCACTGTTAACTGCAAAGGCAAAATCTCGAAAACTCCGTTGAGTGAAGTGCTAATGGCGATGGTTTTGGGCAAGAGGAGGGTATCTTGGAGTAGCTGCCATGAAAAGATTTGCTTTCTCTATCCACCTTCTCAATCATTAGAGCCAGCGAAGCTGATTTCCCACCCACTAATTTGGATAGAGACTGAAAGGCATCGAACTCATGGCCTTTGATCGGCAAGTGTCCACATGTCACGATATACCATTTCAACCCCCCCCCCCTCACCAACAGATCAGGAATAGTCAGTACATTGATAGATTTTCATCTCGTGGCATTTAACGAAAAAGAAGTACAAATTACAATTATGCCACCAGTTCTGATGCACTTTCGAATGCTTATAAGGCGGAAAAGGAAGCACTTTAAGAATATTCTGATTAGTTGAAATGCCAACTTCGATTCCTCCCAATTAATCGAAGTGAAGGGCCGAAAAGACGCAAGTAAATAAACACCCAAATATGTAGTTAAAACCAGTTGGACATTCTCGAATTACCCACAGTGCGTACGTAAAGTATCGGATATGGTAGAAATAGGACATCAAGGTGGAAACTTAAGGTATGGAAAAATTATATTAACCACCATTTTCTCTAGTATACATTATAAGCTAATATGAATGAAACATGATAATGTGAGATAGAAGACTTGCCTCAGCAATAAAGAGATCCATAACCCTCGTAGTCATGGCGATGGGAAAGGCGGTGGCAAAAAGAGTGAGGAACCAGGCGGAAGCGTAGTGGCTGGGAGCGAAGGATTGTGTCGTGAAGTGGGTATGAAGTTCGGGAAGATGTTCGGCAATCAGACCATCCAACTGATGCATGCAAACACCTAATTCTGTCATGCAAGGTTTGTAAAGCTCTCTCAATCGGTACTCGTTCATGAGAAAGACGAGAACTGCAAATGCTTCTTCTTCGCTCATCTATTTCAGGGAGGAAAAGGTAAGTAACTGGATTAGGAAACTGCACAAGGGTGCAGAGGTACCCAATTAGTGCCCATACTGCTATATAATGGAAATATCCCTACTTACAGTCAGAGATAAACTAAATAATAGTGTTGAATAATGTGGAACAGTAAGGACTTCTGAAGATAAAACCTCATAGCTTTAGGAACTTAGGTACTTGTACAAGGAGATAGCACAGATTAGTTATCAGCCTTGAGCTTTAGTAAGTCGAAACCTCGATTAACAAGCAAAGAAGAGCTAAAATAGAACGAAGCATGGATGGATATGGAAGTGAGATAACAGAAGATATAAGCCATACTATCACTCTGCTGATCCCTACTCAAGTACCGCGATTTGCAGCCTTTACTCATACAAGGGTCAAATATAAGACTGAATTTCACGAATTCGGAGCTAGTTGCTAAAAAATCACAATTCACCTATTTTAATAAAACGAAGAAATAAACTTTTAGGGAAGGAGTAAATATATTATGTCTACAGTAAAACATCAACAAATAATATAAAAACCAGATTTTCGTAGTTGAAGAGATTGTGACTTCAAGGAAACATATATCATTGTAGCAATCGGGAAGTTGTTATCTAGAGCTAATGATTTTGTAGTTATTACTAATAAGCCAATGACATAGTCCGAGCTTATGTCCTTACTAAAGGAAAGAGTTTGGTGAACGAAGGCTCGATCAATCTACTGCTCCAAACATAGATTAATAAATTTCCAGTAATAGCATGAAAGAAAATAATTTGATCAGGCAATAAATGTTAATGCACAAGTAAAAGCACCATAAACAATAGACCAATTCGCGGAATTCCGATTGGTCAGTGCATTGGCCATCAGCAGCCAATCCAAATGACTAGATCAGAAAGTGAGAGAGGGTTAAGCATTGCCTAAATAGGACCGGATAGCAACGTCAGTGGTTGCTAGCATGAAGAACTCGATCAATGAACCTTCATCTAGCCTAGTCACCCTCCTACTCCTTCTGTGAGTGGGCATTATGCGTTCGCGCTTGCCCAACTAGCAAGTGTGATGCAAATTTCCTCACCATTACAACTGCTCTTTTGCCATTTCTTTTCCTCATTCACATGAGTTGCTACCACCACTGTAGGCACTAAGCGTGAAATTAGAAAGGTAGAAATTTTATTGCCAAATATCCTTATACGGGGTATGCAAAAACGAGATAGCTGGAGAATACTAATAATTTACGTTGCTGACAAAATAATTGACGCTATGAAGACTGAGTATTGCGTTTAAGACAGGTCTTAATGACCATTGCTCTCATTATCAAAGCCAAAAGTCACAAGTATTCTTAGATCACGATTAATTTATGGTTTATCAATTGATTTTGGTTCGGGTATTTAAAGTCGAGTGCTCTTTAAATGGAATTGGTGTAGCTCAGTAAACATTTGATCGCTATATTCAAAGAAAACTTCCTAGAAGAATATTATGGAACTAAAATTTAAAGGGAGGGGGGTAGTGTGCTCATGGCCTACTACCTGAGAAATGAAGAACTCGACAATGCAGCCAGCATCAATTAATTTTGGGAAATTTAGCAGCCAAGTTAGAATATATGCTCTATAGTCAACAAGGTCCTACAAAGTAACCATAAACCAGGAATCGAAAGTTAGATTGATTTACAAACCCTGTCAATTTAATTTTTTGCAAGTTTTGACAATTTACAACGCACGTCAAGATTCAACCAAACGATTTCAAAATCCCAAGGAATAAAGTTTAGCATAAAAAAACGAGGCCCCAATGGTATACATGCAAACCCTAGGCTTTAAGAACAAAACCTTCATTGGGTAAATATCGCACTAAAAGCTATGCTAAGATTGCACTTCAGATACAAACTTTTATTTAAATTTAGATGAGACTGACTAATTAAAAACTTTAGTCCAAAATAACAAAACCATTTAAACAATCAAATTAGCCAAATAAAATAATTATTGAGCAACAAGCGATCTACATGATCTCTTTATCGACAATCAATATTTAAAATGGGTGCGGGAGATTGGGGAAATATGATCAAGTTTATTTGCCTAAACTCAGAGAAGAAACCAACTCCAGGTGACTAAGTAGTAAAAAATGATCAGATGAAAAAAAACTAAAATGGAGGCCTGTAGGTTACTTGGAAATATTCTCTATGGTGACTCATTTGGGTTAAGTGATGAATTAAGGAGGGCACAGATTACCTCACCTGCATAAGAAGAAGTCCAACAATAAAAGCAGATCCTTGACAATACCCGACTTCACGGTCATGCAGGGAATAGGCCTTCATCACATTGAACAGGCTCTGTTGACCAGCACTTTCCTGATATAACCGAAAATAAATAATACAAGTGAAATTGTAACACATCTAGTAAAATGATAAAAAAACAATTTTATGGGATCTAAAAGCCAAACTTAAATACCCCTTAAGCAGTAAACCAAATAAAGAAGGCGAATTTAAAGAGGAAAAGAGTGCGTTAACAAATAAAGCAGCAAGTATTCACAATTGCGCAAAATGTATGGCCGGAAACTGGGTTAAGTCATCTAAATGCAGAATCGTTAAATAAACCGAAATCGAATGAAGACATAGCCACTCACGAAAGATTAACAATGCTACCGCTCTATTGATCACCATATTCGAATGATTCAAACTTACTCGCACAATGAAATTTGCGTTTAAAAATAATAATTCCATTGGGTGATAAACCATTATACAAATCACGTGAAATAAGACTAAATTTATGCAATTTACCCATCCATAGAGTATGAAAAATTAGGAAAAAAAAATTGAGGAAGAAATTTAAATGCCTAAAAATAAGCAATGACTTGACCACGTACCTTATTTTTGAAAAACTCGTGCTTGGGGTAGGTCCGAGATATATCCCTATTGATCGCCCGTTCAAATGGGGAAACTTCTCGAAGGTACTTTTGATAATCCTTTTTAACTGGAGAGTCATAAGCCCCTGTACAGATTTGCCAAACTGTGGCTCGAAATTGATCAGGAATTCCCATTCGAATTAACTCCTATACGCAAAAAATAGTTCGAAAAACATTCAAATGAAGAAATACGATTAAGTAGGATTTCTTTTTAGAATACTGATCCCAGTTATTAATAACATTAGTCCATTGTTGACAAAGAGTTATTGTGGAAGGGGGAGGGCCATTCGAACCAGTACTTATGAAACTAGGGAAGGCATTGGAAAAAGAAGGCCATCGATTGTGCTTCTTTTCGGAGCCAATAGACAGGCTACTACTGCTTCCACAGTCACCTCCAGCAAAAAAGAAAAACAATTATTAAACGAAATGAAGAAGTATAAAAAAGAAATATCACATTAAAATTTTCATAGTAAAATTACCATCGGAAAGTGAAGAAATCAAACTTGTCTTAGAAGATGTTCTATTGATAGACGAACAAGAAGTGACAGCTTTAGAGTCGGCGCTTAAGCATCTAAAAAATTAATTATTAAAAAGTCGTACCGATTTAGTTCTTCTAATTTTTTGGCTAAATCGTCTTCCGTTTCTGCAACAACCGACCCTATATCGACAGCATCGGCCGTCATCATCTGTGACAGGCTATTAGGAACAAAATTTTCGAAGGTCGTTCGTTGACTTTTCTAGCCTTCATAAATCATAAATCAAGCCTCAAATACTTTAGTCAATATATTCAAAGTAAAGTTGAGTAGGTGTTTCTTTGGATACGTTTTATAATTTCTTTAAAACTTAATTTTGGAACGTTTTCGATGTTTGCAATAATTAGTTGAAGCGATCGGTCTGAAATGCTTTAATGAAAAAGAAAGTTAAATTTGTTTAATATACTGGGTGTTTATTAAAGATACCGCAGATATTTTGTTAAAATCTATGAAGTTATGACCGGACCATCTATTTTGTTCACTCTATTGATATTTTAAAATACAAATTTTCCAAACAAATTCATCAAATATATTCGAATATGCAGTTCATCCCAAAATTTATTTATTTAAAAGTTTCTTTCTATGCTCAAAAAACAATAAATAAGTAAATAAGTCAAATAATCTTTTACGGTCTGTAATATATTATAAGCCTCAGACTAATTTGACAGTAATTTTAATCACAATAATTTACTGTAGCTATGTTTCGTATTTAGGGGGTGTGCAATAGACTTACCTCCACGTGGTGCACCCTGGGCAACGTATAATCATACGGCAAAAAGTCTATTAACCGGCAGTTGACTTCTCACTTCAAACTACCTTGGCACGACTGCTTGCCATATTCAACCCCTTCCACAGTATTCATCTTACCTTTTTCTCTACCTTTGTGTCTGTCTGCCTCTTTTACATCTGTGAATTGCTCTTCTGTTCCCTACCCCTCGACTTTCTTCTTCTTTGATGAACCTTCCCTCTGTGAAGCCCGAAGTCAGCTAAATGGCTAATGATAGCTATCAAAACGCCTGCCATTTGAAATAAATAAATGTTTCGTATATAAA